GGTCCCACGCGCTGCCCGCGACGCCGCTCCGGCACGGGCAGAGCTTCCCCTGGCAAAGGCTGAGTTGCAAATCTTGGGAAGTTTTCCCCCCCCTCCCCCCCCCGGGGAGGGTTAGTGCCGCTGGATGAACTCCGGGATGGAGGGAGGATGGTTTTGATTATGTTCTAACGGAGCTATAAATAGCGAATCCTTCTGGGAGAGAGGCGAAGGCAGGGACGCGGACTGGGAGGCAGAGTCAGCCCTGACTTCCCATGAAATCTTGGGGGATTTTTTTTGCCTTGGCTTCATTTCCCCTTCCCGTGCCTCGGTTTCTTAATCATGAAGAAGAAACACGAACGGTCGTGTATTTATTTTATAGTGGATAAAAACACCCCGGGCTAGGATGATTCCGGAGCCGTGCCCGGTGTTCCCGGTCGGCTCCTTGGCCCGTGTTGGATCAGCTGCTGGTTCTCCTCCTTCTCTGAATATAGAAGCCAAATAGGAAGAACATTTCTTGGAGGAGAAACAGGGAGGAAAAGGAGATCCAGCCCTTCTGCTTTGTGGGGAGTAGCTGACAGTGAGGGGCTCCTGCCAGGAGCCGGTGGGATGTGGGGGAGAGCTGGTGAGAACCTCGAGGGGGAAGGAAAAGGGGAAGGGAAGGAGACAGAGGTGAATCAGGTGGTGTAAAACCAGTATTTTGGCGACTCTCAGACGTGGAGGTTAGAAAATCAGCAAAGAGCAAGATCAGTCTTGGATAGTACAGGAGGAGCTCTGTTTTGAGGTGTGGAATCATGGAACCATGGAATCATGGGATGGTTTGGGTTGGGAGGGACCTTAAAGCTCATCTCGTCCCACCCCCCTGTTGTGGGCAGGGGCACCTTCCACCAGAGGAGGTTGCTCCAATCCCCATCCCACCTGGCCTTGGGCACTTCCAGGGACAAGAAGAAATTTATAACTGGGAAAATTCACCTGGAAAGAGAACCATTCCCAGACGGAGGGTGGTCGGACATGGGACAACCCCGGGAGCAGGTGCAGCCCATGCTCTCCCCTTGTCTTTATCCACCATCCCTCAAGGCACGTTCTCCCCATTGTAAAATCTTTTCCCAGCCCTATACTTCCAATCTCTCTGGGAAAACAGCAGGAGGATGATGCTCCTCCTCATGAACCCCTGGCTGGGTCTCTTTTCCCTCCCTGGGGGTGCTCATGGGAGCAGGAGCAGGAGCTTCCTCCTCGAGATGAGAAAGGGGAAGTGGGTTTTCCATGGGCAGAGGGGGTTTAATGGCAACAACTGGGCTGGGCCAGGTGGGACCAGAGGGAAAGGGCTGCAGGAGGGGAGGGAAAACCACCAGGATGGGTGTGGAGACTCCTGGGGCGACCACAGGGAGAGTCACAGTGGGTGGTGCATTTCACCTCCTCGGGCTGTTGATTTAAGTCCAAGGACTCCTGTTGGTGTTAAGCCAAGAGTTCCTATGGATTTTAAGCCCAGCATTCCTATCCATTTTAAGATGAGGATTCTGCTGATGCTACGCCAGGAATTCCAATTGATTTTTAAACCAAGAATTCCCGTAGATTTTATGACAAGGATACTAAACGATTTTAAGCCAAAAATTCCTCAAAGTAGACTTTTTTTCCAACCAAGAGTGGACCCAGCTGAAGAACTTTGCCATCCCAAACCCAATTCCCAACCTCCCAGGGCTCTCCCTGCTTTGCCAAAGGGGCTTCTCCCATCTGTAGGGAGATGCTCAACTAAGGGTTAAGTGCCAAGGAATGTTGAGCAGGAAGTGAATCTCTCCAAACCCTCCTCTCAACCCACAGAAATAACATCAAATCTCAAAAATCCCAACCCAAGCAGAAATCTGACCTCCTTTGGATGAATCCTGCCAGGGCTGGAGCTGCTGGGGGGGGCAAGGAAGGGTTAAAATATCCTGGGATTAAAGGGATGGGGAGGGAAGGGGCGAGGAAGGTCCATGAGGACAGGGAGGGATGAGTGGATGGGGTTGGACGGGCAAACCCCTCGGCGTGGGAGCTGGGAGTCAGAGTTCAGCAGGATCTGCTGGCTCAGCACTGGGAACGGCTCCTCAGGGCTGGGCGTGATCATGGGAGACTTGCAAAAACTGGGAAAACTTGGAGAATAAACTAAAGAGACCTGGATAAAATGTGCCATAAGGTGGTAGAAGCAGGAAAGGGCTGTTCTTCCCTGGCTGGGACCAGCTGGCACATCCCAGCTGCATCCTGCATCCCAGGTGTGGGGCTGGAGTTGTGTTTCTGTCTGGAAAAGGAAAACACTCTATTTTTGTTCATGGTTTGTTTTTTTTTTCCTTTTTACCTTTTCTCTTACTCATTTTTCACACAGAGCAAACCCATCTCAGCCACAGCAAGGAGCCAACCCAACAGCTTTTCCACCTCCCATCCCAAAACCTTGTTTCCCATTCCCCAGATCCCTGCGTTGCTCAGTCTACTTTATTGCCTTGTTTTTTTCTATATTAATATTAAAGCTTTTCTGCCAAAATCCAACAGTAAAAGCTGCCACAGCTATGGAGCAGCAAGGGAGTGATGCCTTTCCTGGGGGAAAACTCAAATAGGAGGGGAAAAAGAAGGAAAAGGAGAGGGAAAGGAGGGGGGAAAGAAGGAAAAGAAGGGGAAAAGGAAGGAAAAGAAGGGGAAAAGGAAGGAAAAGAGGGGAAAAGGAGACAAAAATAAGGAAGAAGGAGGCTGCTGGTCCTTGTTGTGCCCAGGGAGCTGCATCCCAGGGATGCTCCAGGCATCCCTCACGGTGGATCCTGGAAACCCCTGGAAAAGCTCCAGGGGTTTCACTCGGAGGAGGAAGGTGGGATGAAGTCAGAGCTGTGTCATTTCCCAGCTTTAATAGGCGGAAGCGAAACCAGAAGGGAAGTTAATCCACGGCAGCCGGCGGCTCCGGCACTGCCCCGAACAATGCCCCGAACAATGCCCCGTGCCCAGGAGGTGGCATCTGCAGGATCCCTGCGGAAGCGCCTGGAGGAGGGGGGGGGAGCATTGTTTGGAGTTTTCCCTGCAGGAGACGTGGAGATCGTGGAGATGGATGAAGGAAACCCCCAAAACCCCATCCCTCGTGGCACCGGTGGCTCGGAGGTGGGTGGGGTGAGCTGCCCATCCCACGGGGGGGACACGGAGGGGCTCTGGGGCCGGGCTGTTTTCACCTCCCCACTACCCCCCCCCGAGGGGATTTTTTAGTCTAAATAAAGTTTTCCTGCCCTTCCCAGCTTCTCTGTAAACAGCTGCGCCAGCGGGGGGGGGCAAGGGGAGGGTGTGGAATCGGAATGGGAGACGTGAGTGACTTGGAATAGAGAAAAAGGCTGGTTT